TGTCGGCGACGTGTCTTCTTTCGTTATCGAGGAGCGCGGGGGCGGGGGGGAGAAGGGGGAAGGGGGAAGGGGGAGATCAATGGGGGGGTTAAAACGCGTTTCCCGCCAACGAATCTCGACCTTCAAGGCAACTGGCTGTCAAAGGGCCATAGCAGTGGCTTGCGTCGTGATGGGCTCCCTCCTACTCAGCTACTTCCTCTTCTCCTTCAGGGACTTCGTCGCCAGCGGAAAGTCAACGCCAGCGGAAAGTCAACGGTCAAATCTCAGAAACGACAAGAAAATGTTGAATTCCCGCCAAGGAGACAATGGTACTGCTGAGCTGGACAAGACTGACGAAGGCGGCCATGGATCTCTCCTCACAGGGGCAGCAGGTGGAGGTGCAGGAGGAAGAGGGGGAGGAGAGAGGGAGGAGAAGGGAGGAGGAGGAGGAGGAGGTGCAGGTGGAGGTGGGGATGACAACGGGTATATCGGCGTGGAAGAAGCGCTGAAGACGAACAAGAACAAGGAGGGAGCGGGGGAGGAGGAGGAGGAGGGAGAGGGAGAGGGAGAGGGAGATGGAGAGCGAGAGGGAGAGGGAGAGGGAGAGAAACGAGAGGACGACGTTGCAGTAAAGCCAAAGGAGGAGAAGGAAGCGGAGGAGAAGGAGGTGAAGGGGGAGAAGGAGGAGGAGGAGGAGGAGGAGGAGGAGGAGGAGGAGGAGGAGGAGGAGAAGAAGGTAGAGCTCGAGCAGGGGAGGAGCACGCGTAGGAGGAAGAGAAGGATCAGCAGCAGCGGCGGAAAGCAGCAGAGGACGAAGCTGTCGAGCAGCTCAACGGAAATCACCCAGGACGAGACCGAGACCGAGACCGGCACCTCCCTACCCCTCCTTCTCCACACCCTGCATTCCGCCTCCCCATGCTGCGTCGGGATGGCCCACGTGGAGCTCTGGGGCAGCGTCGTGAAATCCGGTCGTCGTCTGCGCAAGGACTCTGTAGAGGCCTGCTGCCTGGCCTGTCGCAACCTGTGTCCCGATCCCGACGGTCCCATGGTCTCCGACGGTCCGGACTGCATGTGCGACGCGTGGGTGTACTGTGGCGACGAACGGCAGTGCGGGGACAAGTACAGGGAATGCTGGCTGAAGAAGCAGGATGACCCTCTGGTGCCGGAAATCCACCGAGAGTCGCCAGACACCCCATGGACCTCGGGAGTGATTTACGGGGGTGGGAGGAGACTGGGGGTGGTGGGTCTGGAGACCTCTGTGGGAACCACCATACACGTCAAGCTGCGTCCCGAGTGGGATCCCCACACAGTCCACTACATCTGGGACTTGTTGAACATTCATTATTGCTCGGGCTGTCAGTTCTATAGAGCAGAGCGGACTGATGGCAGCCATTGGCAAGGAGGAGGAGGAGGAGGAGGAGGAGGAGGAGGAGGAGAAGGAGGAGAAGAGGAGAAAGAGGGTAGGGAGCATGATGACCATGATGATGCGGAGCGTAGAATGAGAGTTTTAAGAGGGACGGCAGCAGGGGGGGCACCTGCACCTGCACGATTGACTCTGCTTCAAGGGACTCTTCAGGCTGACGGCATCAAATTCCCCCAGAAAAGAAGACAACCCTTCTTCTCGCCAATTACAAGGGGCATGCTGTGTCTTATCAATCAAGGCCCGGACTTTGTGATCAGTCTTGTGGACCACCCAGAATGGATTGGTCAGACCACAGTCTTTGGCTCGGTCCTGGAGACGGACATTCCTCTGGTCATGTCCATAGCTGACAGACCCACAAAGGAGGCGACGTGGGGTAAGGTCAGCGTTCGAGTCCTTCAGGAGGTGGTGCCCTTTGGGGTTCAAAGGCCCAAACTGGAGCCCGATGGGGGGTAAAGTCAGGGGTTCAAATCCTTCAGGAGGGGGTGTGCGCTTTGGGGCTCAATGGCCCAAACTGGAGCCTGAGGATTCAGGAGGCCAGGCCAGATGACTTTCAAAATACCCCTACCCCTACCCCTACCCCTAACCCTAACCCTACCCCCACAACCCTCCCTCCACTTTCTCACCGGGGGAAAAAAAAAGTCGAAGGGCGCAAAAAAAGGGAGAAGGGCATTCAACCCAAGTTGAAATTGTGTGTGCCTTCTTCTACCACCTGCTGGTCCTGTCCTTCCCGTTCAGTTCTCTCTCTCTCTCTCTCTCTCTCTCTCTCTCTCTCTCTCTCTCTCTCTCTCTCTCTCTGAGGTCTTTTTTTCATGTTTGTCCCGTCAACACTTAACCCTTAACCAGGCTGGCACAATACAGTCCTACCTGCCGACCTACCCGCTAGAAGAACTGTCTATAGGGCCTCGCTTCACTACACAACACTCTACATGCATCTGGACGGTCTCTGGACCAGGTGATTTCTGATGATCCCAATATTTATCCAGTCCAGAAAGCGTCCAAATGCATGTAGAGTGTTGTGTAGTGGAGCCAGGCCCATAGTATCACTCATAATACAGAGTCCTACCTACCTACCTACCTACCTACCTACCAACCACAAGAACTAACTTTATTAAAGTGATATAAATTCATATTATAATGTTTAAACAAAGAAGAAAAAAAAGAAAGAGCTAACTATAGTGTCAAAAAGGACAAGGACAAGAAAACTTTTGTCCTACTAACTTCTAAACAATTGCTACCATCTTCACCCGAAAATGGAAAATCCCTCGTCATTATGGCTCTATCTGGACTGAAAGTTGCCCCGAATACAGCTATAATTAATGACCTGGCCTTCTATTTGGGGGAAGATGATAGTAATAAACAGTACTATTGTGTCTACAGTACTGGTCATCATGCTTTAGTGACTACTGTCTTCCCCGGAGTATGACCGGGGCGTTCTACTCGCTTCAAGACGGTACTCTTCCCGTGACCACAGCAAGTCACTGCAGTAGGCACAGTAATTACTGAACAGTAAACTACAGTAAAAACTACCAGTCTACCACAGTAAAGGCACAGCAAGTCACTGCAGTAGGCACAGTAATTACTGAACAGTAAACTACAGTACAAACTACCAGTCTACCACATTAAAGGCTAGGCCCTACTGGTGCCATGTTCACGCTGTGAAAGCATCCGAACCTGGCTGCTATTACGCCGAGGAGCATGAACACACCACCAGTGGGGAACCCACCTCCTACGTCTCCGTACATTGTTGTTTTATTCCCTCAAAGTCAGCAAAGTGTACCCAAGGTCTACGCACTAGTGTCTTAGACCACCAGTACTTGGCCCAGCTATCGGCCGCCCAAAAAAATAGAGTAGAAACGTTTCTAGTTGGATGAATTTGGGTGTTCCTGTACTGGCCCGTACGTTTCCTAAAATCGTGGCGCGTTAACGGGCACGACTTTAGCAAGTACTGGTGTTTTAGAGATGTTTCTCGGTAATTTGGTTAATTTGTCTAAGTTGACCTTGGGTACGCTCTGCTGGCTTTGAGGGAATAAAACAACAATGTACGGAAATGTAGGTGGTGGGTTCGCCACTGGTGCTGTGTTCATGCTAGTCCTACAGAACTGTCTGGCAAAGTCATGCCTGTTCCTTGTGGAGTTGTGTATAGAATATACGATAACGCACAGAATAGCATGAGACTGTGGCAGAGCACATCCTCTGAACTGCTGCTGCTCCTTAGGGTGATTTTTCTCTGGGAAAATTTTAGTTACGCGGCTTATGCCCACACAATAGCTGGAAAAGCTATCATTGTGCCCTGGTCCTCGTTGATTTAGCGTTGTACCCTGGCATAGGGAAACAAAGTTTCCCTTGTGCCCAGGCGAACGGACCAGCCATTGGGCCCCATCCAACTTGCAGGTATGCCCCATGCCAGGGACGCTCGTTTCGCAAGCATCACTTAGTTCTTCCAACTGTTACATTGTTCACGACATGAGTCATGCAGTTGCAGTAAACATATGCACACACACACACACACACACACACACACACACACACACACACACACACACAAAGAGAGAGAGAGAGAGAGAGAGAGAGAGAGAGAGAGAGAGAGTCGAGAGAGAGAGAGAGAGTCGATCGTTCGCAGTTTCACCTTCTGCATCACAAGTGCATGTGCATAACTGTAGCAACATGCACACACATGCACGGGGGGCTGAGAGAGAGAGAGAGAGAGAGAGAGAGAGAGAGAGAGAGAGAGAGAGAGAGAGTCGATGGTTCGCAGTTTCTACTTCTGAATGACAAGTGGATGTGCATGACTGTAGCAACATGCACACACACAGAACTGACATTTCATGAAAACTGACATTTTTTTTCTAAATTCACAAAAGTGGACTTAGAAGTCAAAATTTCATTGCTCATTGTGTGAGAAAGTGGTTCTCTCTCTTTGTCCATCTGACGTACCTCAACGTAAAGTACTGTCAACGTACATCCGATGATCAGATCATCAGGCAACACCTTGACACCCGATGATGTGATCATCCGACGTCATGGGCACAAAAAAACGCTAAAAATGTTGTTGTTGTTTTTTTTTTTTTTTTTTTTT